CACTGATAGGCGGCACTGATAGGTGACACTGATGATGGGTACCGATAGACGGCACTGACTGGCATCACTGCTGGGCACTGACTGGCGGCACTGACTGGCACAAACCCCTGGGCACTGACTGGCGGCACCGACTGGCTGGCACAACCCCTGGGCACTGACTGGCAGCACTGCTGGGCTGCACTGGTGGGTGGCACTGGTGGGCAGGCACAGGTGGGTGGCACTTCTGGGCACAGGTGGGTGGCACTTCTGGGCACAGGTGGGTGGCACTGCAGAGTGGCACAGGTGGGTGCCCTGCTGGGCACAGGTGGGTGCACTGATGGGCACGGGTGGGCGGAGCTAGTGGGCGCACTGCTGGGCACCGATCATCAGTGCCCTGATGATCGGTGCCGATCCCCGCTCTGACAACTGCCGGTTCTCGGCAGTACTTTCCTTACGATCTGACAGCGTGAGGAAAGTGCAGCCGAGAACCGGCACTTGCATTTCCCTGTGATCAGCGTGTCATTGGACACTGCTGATCACGTGGTAAAAGGCCGCTGTGATTGGCCTTTTACCACATCACGTGATCAGCTGTGTCCGTAGGCCACAGCGATCACGGAGATCGCCGGGTGCGCGCCCCCTGGGGCGCGCAGGAGAGCGCGTTCTGGGAGGACGTCATATGACGTCCACCCAGAACTGGCCGGCCGCAGTGAAGCCGTCATTCGGCTATCTGCGGTCGGCAGCTGGTTAAGGAACAAAGGCTGAAGTATCCTGGGACACTGGGTTGTGTTGCTGCCTACTGAAAATTGTGTTGCTGCCTACTGAAAATTGGACACTGGCAAACAAAGCTGTATTACATCTAAGTATAACCCCTCTCACTCCATGCTCGAGTTTTGTAGCAAACATTCATGAGGGAAGCTGGGTAAAGTATTCTGAGACCCTGGACATGCCAAAGCAGTCTGACTGAGGGATAGGCAATAGAGCAATGCACAAGCAATCAGGCCCACAAGTAACCACAGGTTGACAGAGGGGGTTCAACAAAACTCACAGGGCCAGGAAATACCTTATGACCAAAACTGGCATCAGAGGAAGCCTCAACATCCACTCCTGAACAGCCTATGTAGCACTAACTGATCTAGTGGAGTGTGCTTTAACTATCTTTAAACTGATAAGGATAAGCTGCCAAAGCCACATCCTGGTGTGTTTCGTGGGTGAAGGAATCCTCCCCACTGCACTATTATATTCTGACAGTGGGACTTTTCTGCTGCCAGAATACACTGATACGCTGCAGCAGATTGGATGCATGTGCTGATCAAACACAAATTTTCCAGTACTTGAGTCCCACTTGAGAGAAGTTGATCACTACTAGGTCACCTGCTTTTGAGCAAAAATAGCCCATAGATGGATCAAATTGCAATACAATTATGGCTAGCTTAATGATAGCTGTAGTTAGGAGAAAATCTGAAGGTGTATTACCATATCCAGACAGGGTACAAAGGAAAATGTACTTAGAATGATTTGAAACAAAAATGAGAGAAAGGATAACAATGCCCTGTTTAAAGTAAACAGATGAAATCACATAAAGATAAAGAGAGACCATAGCCCCAACACAACTATCTTTGTGTAGCACAAGAAAGAGCTCCTTACAAATTAAAGCCCAAATCTTCTCACAGAGGAAATAGTGATGGTCACCTTACAAGTGTAGAAAAGGAATATCCCTGACATGCTGAAAGGGTGATTTCTAAAAATTGACAATACCAGGCTGAGATTTCAATGGTTCACTATGGAATGATGTGGGCAATAACCTGAGCAAAATGTGCAAACAACCTTTGAAATGACCAATCACCAGGATTGAAATTTGACCCATGATGGTACTTCAGAGGCAGGTGTTGATTTAGTCCACACTGGAGAAAGGATTCAACCCACGGAGCACTTTCTGGGATGGAATTACCTTGCCTCATGCCTTGAAAAAAAAAGTAGACCTTGCACAAAGTTGATTTCCCATCTTTGGGATGTGTAGGGAAAAACAAGAGAGGCCCATATCAGTTAAAACCTGGGCTTTAAACAGTCAGTCAGTTGGAGAATGAAATCTTTATTTGGGACAGAAGATCCAGATGATTTGAAAGGGTTCACAGTCTTTTGTTGAACCTAGAGACCAGGAGGTCCATGCCTGGCATCCAGAGTCCTAGAAACACCTATGGGTGAAGAGGCCACTCTGACTTCAGTTGATGTTGAAAGAGAAAGCCTACCCACCAATTTTTTCAGGTTGGTGTCAGTTGTGGAAACCATCCACACTAGTGAGAGGAAAATTTCCCTGACTTCTGGGCTGGATTTGAGAACCACCAGGCCAGGGCGAATCTGTTCTTCGGCAATAGGCCAAAGATATGGTAAAGGGAATGTGCATTTTTATCCCACATGGTCAGAATGTGGAGTTGCAAAGGTCTGATGCGGAATTGGGCAAAATTTAACTCTCTCAATAGAGGCCACCATCAAGCTTACAAACCTCAAAAACCAGTAGGCCACTTGTCTCCTGGACTGTAGAGTATGAATGTGGGAGCAGAGAATCTGAAAATTTTCTGGTGAAAGAAAAACATTGGAAATAAGTATCCAGAAGGCCCAGCTACTCCAAATGAATAGTCCGTTCCAGCGCCAACTTCTGGAGGTACAGAATTTAACCAAACCTCTGCAGAGTTTGAGGCTCAGGATCCAACCAGAAGAGCTGTGCCACAGCAGAGTGGAGGTACAACAGTCCTTGCATGGACAATGGCAGATTGGACAATATGAATTGTAAATTAGGCAGAGATTGAATCTCTAGCTTGTAGCCCCTGGATAACACACTCTGGATCGAAGAATCCTAAATGCCCTGGGACCAGGTGTCTGCAAAGGCTAACAACCCAGCACCAACCCTGAAAAAGTGGGGTGCCCCCTCCATTGCAAAGCGCATGTATGTGAACTTTGAGGAGGTCGTCCAAGAATTGTAGCAGAACTGAAGTCCAGGCTTGGTCTTTGAGGCGTAAGATACATTTTTATACTTTTTTTAGCCTTTGTAGTAGATGGTTTTCCATACTAAGACCTAGCCTTATTTGTAGGGAATTAAGGGTATTCATTCCCTCAGTGATGCAAAGGTAAAGTGGCAGGTTGTAAAGCGCTTGCGGGGGCAAGTAAAGCCATGGAAAGGGCTTCTAGCTGTTTTTCCACAAGATTACTAAACACTGGAATGTCCTCCAATGGGACAATCAGTCTTAAAATGGGAAACAGCCGGATTTACTGCAGAAACAAAATTACTTAAAAGAGCCTCTCATCAATACAGTACTGCTGGGCAAAGTGTTTGGTAGGATTAAACAGCTTGGCAGGATTAGTTGAATTTAAGGTTGTAGGAGTACACAGGGAAAGATAGCAGTTCCAATGACTGCAGAAGAAGCTGCAGAAAAACCAGCGATGCTCAGGAGAGGGCATGGGAGCAAAATCGCGACCTCAACTTTCAAAGTCAGGTGGAAATTTTCTTCAGATGCAGAAAATTATTCCTAGGACAAAACAGAGGAGGAAGCCACAACAGAGTAAATGACAGTCTGGTGTGGACTCAAGTAGGGGATAGTAGTCGGCCATTTGTGTCAGGTACTTTAGGACATACACTGCAAGCTACCCGAGAACAGTTAGAGCAGCGGTTCTCAACCTGGGGGTCGCGACCCCTTTGGGGGTCGAACGACGCTTCCACAGGGGTCGCCTAAGACCATCGGAAAACACATATTTCCGATGGTCTTAGGAACCGAGACACCGCTCCTCGCCGCAGCCGTCTCCAGGTGTGGGCGGGATGACATGCCGCCCCTGTCATCTGGACACACCTCGAGATCAATCCTTGCCTGTGATTGGCCGCCGGCACTGTAGCTCAGGAGAGGCACACAGGCGGCCAATCACTGGCAAGGAGGTGGAGCTTGGAGAGGAGGAGCCGAGCGGCACAGCGAAGATGGAGCGAGTGAAGAGGAGGAGAGCGGCCGGAGAAGGAAGACAGCTGACAGGTAAGTGTGTACCATGGGAGAGGGAGGGAGCGAGCGAGCCCAGGCTGGAGCAGGGGTCAGCAAGGTAAGTATCATTGGTGTCAGTGGGAATAGTGCCCCATCATTGGTGTCACTAATACCAATAATGGGGCACTATTCCTCCCACTGACACCAACGATGGGGCACTATTCCTCCCACTGACACCAACGATGGGGCACTATTCCTCCCACTAACACCAACGATGGGGCACTATTCCTCCCCCACTGACACCAAGGACGGGGCACGATTCCTCCCCCCACTGACACCAAGGACGGGGCACGATTCCTCCCCCCACTGACACCAAGGATGGGGCACGATTCCTCCCCCCACTGACACCAAGGATGGGGCAGTATTCCTCCCCCCACTGACACCAAGGATGGGGCAGTATTCCTCCCCCCCACTGACACCAAGGATGGGGCAGTATTCCTCCCCCCACTGACACCAAGGATGGGGCAGTATTCCTCCCCCCCACTGACACCAAGGATGGGGCACTATTCCTCCCCCCACTGACACCAACGATGGGGCACTATTCCTCCCACTGACACCAACGATGGGGCACTATTCCTCCCCCACTGACACCAACGATGGGGCACTATTCCTCCCCCACTGACACCAAGGATGGGGCACGATTCCTCCCCCCACTGACACCAAGGATGGGGCAGTATTCCTCCCCCCACTGACACCAAGGATGGGGCGCTATTCCTCCCCCCACTGACACCTATGATGGGGCACTATTCCTCCCCCCACTGACACCTATGATGGGGGCACTATTCCTCCCCCCACTGACACCTATGATGGGGCACTATTCCTCCCCCCACTGACACCTATGATGGGGCACTATTCCTCCCCCCCACTGACACCAATGATGGGGGCACTATTCCTCCTCCCACTGACACCTATGATGGGGCACTATTCCTCCCACTGATACCAATGATGGGGCACTATTCCTCCCACCGACACCAATGATGGGGCACTATTCCTCCCACTGATACCAATGATGGAGCACTATTCCTTCCACTGACACCAATGATGAGGCACTATTCCTCCTACTGATACCAATGATGGGACACTATTCCTCCCACTGATACCAATGATGGAGCACTATTCCTTCCACTGACACCAATGATGAGGCACTATTCCTCCTACTGACACCAATGATGAGGCACTATTCCTCCCACTGATACCAATGATGGGACACTATTCCTCCCACTGATACCAATGATGGGGCACTATTCCTCCCACTGATACCAATGATGGGACACTATTCCTCCCACTGACACCAATGATGGGGCTCTATTCCTCCCACTGACACCAATGACTAGGCACTATTCCTCCCACTGACACCAATGAC